TTTTTTTTCGATTTTCTCTGAAACAGAGCAAAAACGAGCATATGTCTATAGGACTTTTTTTCTTAGTTTTTTACCCCTCTACACGCTCCCGAAGTTTTGCCATTTAATTTGGAAACACCCTGTATATTACTTGTTCAATTATTCAGCCATTGAATAAAATATATTTCGGGCAATCGCTACGGCTGTATAATGTTACGAAATATGTATACAGAATGTAAATCGCCCCCGGAAAGTCAGATGTCTGAGTATTACTGGTCACAAAATATAATTTATGCGTCTATCTCCGCGAATATTGCTGCGCACTCTGTCATTTTGCTAAAATCCACGAATGCTCGGAAAATGCGTCCGTTTGAACCACCTTCCACTATTCCTTTTTCAACAGCTCGACCCGCTGGATGGGGGCACGGATAACGGCTTCACATTCACGGCTGCCAACTGGCCGACGCAGCCCCAAGGAATCGCTTACAGGATCACATCCCGATATCCGGCACATCCCGCGGGAAGCTTCTATTATCCGAATCTACCTCGTCTGCCGCCGATAGCTACCCTCACATTTACCAAGGTACATATCTCATATCCTCGTACATGTGCGGTCCTTTATTTTCTTCACATTAATTCATCGTGTGAAATAAATTGATTAACTCAGTAAAAATGAAATTTTTACATAAAACCCATCTTTGCGGCATTAATTACTTCGAAACAGTACAAAAATCGGAAATTTTTCTACTCGTATGTAGAATAGTAAAAAGGTAATAAGATGAATGAATCTCGTACGAAAATTACTTTAAAATAATTTTATTTTCCAAGATATTAGGAATATGTAAATTACATAACTGTCCTTTCTGTGGCTTGATAATATCTCATTCTTTTATGCATTTAATGCTTCGATTTCATGAGAGCTCTTTTGTCGTTTGGTAAAATAGCCGTGCAGCAGCAGCCCATTAAAAGAACATTGAGCTTCAGTAATAGCCATTAATTTATTTCCCCGGTATTGATACGCTACGTAATAAATGTCCTGACAATATCAGTTTCAACATAAAACTGATTAATTGCATTCGCTGTTTAAACAATCTAATAATTCTTCTTGCTCGATAATATGGTTTCGATAATACAATACAAGACTGGGCATTATTTTATTGTGCCAATTATCATATATCGAATAAGAGATATATTATTGAAATTATACGTTTTCGTTGATCTTCGTAAATTGGAGGACAAGCAGACAAAATACACTTTAAATATTCTTCTGGAAAAAACTATATTTCGCCTCCGACAAATTTGTTCCCAAATGCAATTGCTGAATTGTTTTATATCCTTTTCCTCACTGCTAACATTAAATACATTTTCGACGCGCAAGAAGAGTGGTTCGACTCAACGCAAATATTTGTTTTCCGAAGCCATGCGAACAGGTTCGCTCTCCTTCACCTGCAAACATCGAACCTATCTTGGTGAGACTATCTTCTTCGCTTCATTGTCAAACTGATATTTTTACAATTTTTTTATCAGAGAGTCAATTAAGTATTTTATGACAAAGATTATTTTAAAAAGTTTATATGATTTTATCATGAAGAAAATCTTACAAATACTTTAAACATAAATTTTAAATAGATAAAAATGTATGATTTTAACGATCCTTCACTGAACAGAGATAAATCGGATAATTAGTGAAGTCTTAAAATTAAATTATCGCTTCAAGCTAAGACTATTTTAATAATAATATCGAGAAGATTACACATCATTCGAACATGAATAATTTAATTGATCTCAAAGATTCTCAGACCTTTTAAAATCTTTTTTCTAACCACAGCATGGTACTCGCGGTAACGAAATTCAAGGAGCAACGACTCATATTAACTCGCTAATTATCTTTGCCTACAGTCCATCCTATCGCCCTGCTTCACTGACTCCACTTCATCCACCTCTCTGCTTTCGACCTCTCTTTGACTCGTGTCACCTCTACTTCCGCTTTCCTATAGGGCAAAGGGATGACTCGCCTACTAAATTCCTCCCCTTACTCGGCCTCACTTACCACTTAATTACCAAACTTCTGTCGCTAATCCAATATATATCCTCTCGCAGCTCGTTCTCTCTCACCATTTTCTCACCAACCTACCTTTCCTTCTTTGACTTTTGAGCGTTTATGATAACGTTATCTACACTTGCTAATGCTTCCAACAGATTTGTCAATCCATTTTACATAAAGGTAGAATAAAAGATAATTTACACAACGTAAAATAATAAAAATATAATTCAATTCAATTAAATGTAAATTTTAAAATGTAATATCTTACTATTAATGAATTTTAATTAATCCAGTGTATATTTTTCTTATTCTTGATATTTAATACTGCTCTTAAAATATAATATTGATGTAAATATACTATCTTAAGAGTTCCAAATTTTGTTTAAATAATCTGAATCGTTATTTGTCACATACAGTCTTTGCGGTTTATACAATTACCGTAATATATGCGTCATTTTATTTCTCTCGCAAAGCATTTTCACGAGTAGCTATCAAGAGCCAGTTTCAACCTCCCCGAGAAGGAGAGTTGCTCGCAGCTGCGCTTGCGACCCCACTGTTTCCATTAAACTTCACGCTTCCGGAACTCCATTAAACTGAAAATCAGACCGCCTAATGTAATGCCCATTTCGTACAACAACGCGCCCATTATCGCCCCAAAGTGTCCGGCTTCGCGAAATCGAGAACGTTTGTTTACGCCACTTGGCTTGTTGAAAACTTTGAATAATGGAGGCATGATCGGGTGTAGAAATAAAAGTTAGTGAATAGATTGTATGATCACGTACATTATTGCACGAGACATGTTCGCAATACGAACGACAGCTGAATAATAAATTTAGTAATTCTACCTTTATTTATAATATATGTATATTTATACGTATATATAAAAAATCGTGTAATTATAGTAATAATATATATATATACAATAAAATTTATAATAATTTAACTGATAATTTAATTAATAATTATTTATTAATTTAAGAAATTGTGGAAGCTCATAAACTCCCTAAAACATCCAACGATTTTAACGTGCCAAAATTTATTATATTATGGAAGGCAAGTTCCCAAAATTACATTTGCAGCGGAAGATGCGGTACGGCATAGCATACCTACGTCCGCGAAAAGACTAAAATATTTAGTCCTTAAATAGAAAGAAGGAAGTTACTAAGGCGAAAAAGGAAAATTTAATTTAAAAATTACAATATAACAGATTTAATCCGGAATTTTCTCGGGAAATTTTCTTAGGATGGCATATTTACATGCTAACCCAATTATACCGAACAAAATAAAATCATAATTTAAAATTAATTTCGTGAAAGTTCACAGTAAATGCTATCCTCAAGTGGCAAAATATACACCAATATCTCTCGAGTATATGCAATTAAAGATTCAATCTATATTATAATTTCTCACAATTATAATATGCATACTACACAAAGTACAGATGACATTTGAAGTGTATTAAGTATAACAACACATTAATGAGAGAACGGAATGCAATAGATAGCGTAATGAGAGGCGCGGAAACTGAAAAGGGATTTTTACATCGATAACAAGTAGAAAATGGTATAAATAAAAAATTGAAAATGAGCAAGATCTCCAGCAGCAGCATACTTGACGCGCCCGTCTTGTTTATAATTCGATTCATGCAAATAATTCAATAAATATTTTATTATAATTATAAACTATTTTTCGCAAATTAAAGAAATTTTATATATATTCAAATTGTTATTATAGTATTGATATATTTCATATTTAACAAGTGCACATACAAATATTTTTCTATGAGCTAAAGAAAAATTTTTAATCCTTAATTTTTTTTATTGTAGTAATAGTATTTGAAATTTATTACAGTAACGTTAGCAGTTATTGTTCGACATAATATTATTGTCTTTAATTATCCTTGATTCTCATGAAAATAGAAGTCTAAATATTATATTTCTTAATAAAACTTTTTGGAAACAATGCATGACTCATTTGCGGATTAGGGACTTTATTATTAAACAAGAAAAATACAATTGAGCGCTCGAAATATTCATAAATAAATGAAAAAATGAAAAAACAATATACTTAATTTCAGGCAATTGAGAGCTTAAAAAATCGCAGTTAGATTGTGCGTGTAACCAGCAACATATACTTCGTTCTTATTACATCACCTCCCAAGTATTACAGCAAATTATTTGTCGAACGTTTCGGCTTCATTTAAGCTATCATCAGCGCTGTCATATAACCTCCGTGCTTGCATGACGTATCAACAAAAAGAAAGCAGCCAAAGGAGCCCCTTCAACTCCAAATTTTGAGACGCATCTTATCCCATCGAATGGTCAATCAAGTAAGAACGACTGCCAACTTTTATCACACATAAACGCAACAGCAGAACAACTTATTTGGAGAACTGTCCCCCAGTAGATACAGAGTGAAAAAAACTCATTTTTTTTGTACTTTGTATCTACTGGGGGACAGTTCTCCAAATAAGTTGTTCTGCTGTTGCGTTTATGTGTGATAAAAGTTGGCAGTTGTTCTTACTTGATTGACCATTCGATGGGATAAGATGCGTCTCAAAATTTAGAGTTGAAAGGGCTCTTTTGGCTGCTTTCTTTTTGTTGATACGTAATGCAAGCACGGAGGTTATATGACAGCGCTGATGATGGCTTAAATGAAGCGGAAACGTTCGACAAATAATTTACTGTAATACTTGGGAGGTGATGTAATAAGAATGGAATATATGTTGCTGATTACACGCACAATCTAACTGCGGTTTTTTAAGCTCTCAATTGCCCGAAATTAAATATATTGTTTTTTCATTTTTTCATTTATTTGTGGACTTTATTATCAAATAGATTTAAAAGCGAGTTATACGTGATTCTCTTTTGTTTGGGACTCATGTATTCCTTGTAACATATTTCGAAATTACATTGTCTATGTGCTAATATCCTTTCCTAAGTAGAATGAATTAGAATGAATTATACTATAACATTAATTTTATTAAAATGTTTAAAATTTTATTAAATCGTAATTAATTTTAATTGTCATTGATATCTACGTACTATTGACAAGTCAGGATGCGAACGACTGTCTTAGCAATTTTTATTTTAAATTACGATTATAAACAAGACGGGCGCGTCAAGTATGCTGCTGCTGGAGATCTTGCCCATTTTCGATTTTTATTTCTACAATTTTCTACTTGTTATCGATGTAAAAATCCCTTTTCAGTTTCCGCGCCTCTCATTACGCTATCTATTGCATTTCGTTCTCTCATTAATGTGTTGTTCTACTTAATACACTTCAAATGTCATCTGTACTTTGTGTAGTATGTATATTATAATTGTGAGAAATTATTTCATACAACACTGACGTAAAGGATATCGAAAAGACGTCTATATCATAAGAAAGCCTTCAAGATGCCATTCGGAGAATTGTGTACTACGGAACTTTTCAAACAGAGATACTTGAAATATTATTTTGATTTCACTTCTTTTTTTATGGCATTATTTTTGGTATCTTTTTTCTGCAAAATATACTTGACGCCTTTTTTTACATTTTTAATAAAAAAAAGTTTAAAGCCCTTTCCGATAGATTTTACGAATTTTTGCTAAGTATTATTTTCATTATCATTTTCATATATTTACAAAATTGTTTTATTATGTAAAGATATTGCAAAATATACTTGATGTCTTTTTTTTACATTTTTAATGTCTTCCGGTTGATTATCATTTTCTAGCTTAATTAACAAATACCAGTATATAATTTCCCATACAGCACCAATAGTTGCAGAAAACTTTAAGTAAGGTTTCAAAATCCTTTCGACCTTTCACATATCATGTGTAACAATTCTGAAAGAATTTTGCAATATGTCATATGAAATGTTGCAACAGAAATGTTTCTGAAATAGTTTACATGAACATAATTTTGCAAAACTTTCAGTTGAATTATCTCTGAAACATTTCATATGAAATGAAATTGCAAGCCTTGCAATTGAGCGGTTTCTGAAATCTTTCATATACAGTAAATTTTAAATGTTTCAGTTGAGTTATGTCTGAAATATTTCATATGCAATCGATTTGCAAACCTTTCAGTTAAATTATTTCTGAAATCTTTCACATGCAATGAGTTTGAAAACTTTCAATTGAGTTATCTCTGAAACATTTCATATGCAATGGTTTTGCAAACCTTTCAATTAAATTATTTCTGAAATTTTTCACATGCAATGAGTTTGAAAACTTTCAATTGAGTTATCTCTGAAACATTTCATATGAAATCGTTTTGCAAACTTTTCAGTTAAGTTATTTCTGAAATCTTTTATATGCAATAAATTTGAAACCTTTCAATTGAGTTATCTCTGAATCATTTCACATAAAATTTTTTGCAAATCTTTCAGAGTTTAGTCGTTTTTAACATCTTTCATATGCAATAAATTTAGAAACAATATATACGGTCTCACATGTACGGTCTAAAAATAAAGATATTGTAATTTACAATACAGCATTGATAGTTGCAGAGAACTTTCAGTAAAGTTTCAAAATCATTTCGACCTTTCACATTTCATGTGTAACAATTCTGAAAGAATTTTGTAATATGTCACATGAAATGTTGCAACAGTAATATTTCTGAAATTGTTCATATGAACATAATTTTACGAAACTTT